GTGGGGAAAAAGGAGACCAGTAAGGATAGCTTTCAATTTTTTCCTTCTATATCAGAGAAACAACTTGCGGTCTGGGTTTGTGTTTGAGGCATGGCAGGGTGCAAGGTTTACACAAAATTAAAAGATACGCATTGAATTCACCAAAGCTCAGCTGATAAGGCATGACCTTTCAGGTTCAGAGATGAGCATTTCAAGATGGGGCTGGGAACGAAGCATGAAGTGAGACAGAGATGTGGAAGTGTCAAGTGAGATAGCAAGTCCCACCCAAGTGATGGGAGAACAGCAACAAGAACCTGATTCATGATTTAAAAAAAAAAAAAAAAAAAAAAAATGAAAAACAAGTTTCCTCTGTTCACAGGTCAGCCATCACATCATAAAAATGTGTACTACATAAGGACTAAAAGACGACATAAAAGAGACAAAAAGCCAGCTTCACAGTGAAGAGTAGATGAAGATGAGAAAAGAGGTTTAAAATAGAATCCCCCCAAAGCTTGGTTAGCTATCAGTAGAGTCAAGAAGTTAAAAACGTAAATATTTTCCAAATTGAATATTTAGGTTAAATTACCTTGTTTCTCTTAACGGGACAAAAGGAAGAGAAGATTCACAGTAGAAACCGAAAATGAAAAAACTGTAATATCACAATGTAGAACACAGAGGGGCAACCTCACAGAGGCTTATGCAAATATTATCAACAATTATTAATACTCCCTATATTAATCTATTAAAAACCAACCATCAATTAAAAAAAAACAAAATTCAATCATCTCTGGTCGAGGAAAAGCACCAAGAAAATGAAAAGAGACAGACAGAGTAAAATGATAGCATAATCTTTGGTTTATCAGGCACATTTTGTGCTAGAAAGGAAGGGAATAGGACAAAGTAATTTTTTTTAGTAAAAAGAATTGAGAAAGCAACATGGAGACTCCACAAGAGTGAAAGTTACAATAAATAATGAAAACACAAAACACTCAATTTCTGTTCCAATTAGCACAGCAAAAAAGTACATAATGGGACCATGCAGGAAATGCAAAAGAAATTTTAAAAAAATGGAAATATAGTGTAGCTGGAGCCCTTAGTGCCCCTTCTGTAGAATATCCATGATCAAATAGACAGAGAAATTAGAGCTCTGAACAACCCAATTAATAAGGTGGACTGGCAGATCAGGGAGAAGTACATGGTAAATCAAGGGTCTATGCTCTCTTTAGAAGAATAGACAGAGTCTTTCACAAAATTTATCCCGTTCCCGAGCACAGGCAAGTCCTCGACAGCAATGGCGATTTTACACTCATTCTTAGACCACAAAGAAAATAGCTGTTTGTTGGTCCTGAACACTTAGCTGCAGCGCCATGATATTAATATTTAATAGGCATTTCTATGCATTCTCTTACATAGCCTCTTAACGTGTGAGTTAGAGACAAAATCAGACGTACGTTGCTAAAATATTGGAAAGAAACAATATTTATACACAAAACACAAATGCAGTCACCACTTAAATGAAAGTGGGAATTCCTAAGTCTTCTTTTGAACAGGAAAGGGAGAAACGAGGCGAGCCAACGCTACATTCAGAGGTCCTGGAAGTGGAGTGGAAGTGACCATGGCCATTGCACTGCTCTGATCACCCTGGGACCCAAGGCTGTCTGTCCGCACGGGCTGAACTCGGAGTGGGTAGGGAACCACAGCATGGGAGAAGACGCGGAAAGGCCTAGAGATACTCCTAATCCCTAGAAGGAAAGACACAAGGGCATCCATCCTCCAGTGCTCGTGACGTGTTCCACCATAAGGCTTCACGGGTCAGAAAAGGAATGGGTTCCAAATGCTGCAGAAAGCAAACCTATCTCACAGCCAGAGTGTCCGAGAGTAGACAAAGCAAAGCGGCCTCATCATGTGTTGGACTCTCTGTTACCAGAGGTATGCAAGCAAAGGCAAGGTGAGGTGCTTATCCAGAGTGCTGTAGAGAGAATTCATACACACAGCAGTGTCTTACTGAAGGGTGTTTTTGTTTGTTGTTATTTAACCCTGAAGTAGACTCTTCTTTCAATATAAGGCTGTTTTCCAATGTTTGGTGAAAAGGAGAGAAAGTATGTCGAGTGTGGAAAGGGACTGGGGTGGAGCGCAGAGGCCTTGCTTCTCCTCCTGGCTCCCTCTGCTTGGGGGGCTCCACCTCATTTCTTCCATCCTTAAGGTCCTGCTCAGCCCCGAGCCCAGAGCCCTGGCCTCACTGTGCTAGCTCGTTTGTTTGTTTGCTTGCTTGTTTGTTTGAGTTAGGGTCTTGCGTTGTCACCCAGGCTGGAGTGCAGTGGCACAATCAAGGCTCACTGCAACCTCAACTTCCCAGGCTTGAGCAACCCTCCCACCTCAGCCCTCCAAGTAGCTGGGACTACAGCATCACCACACTCAACTAATTTTTACTTTCTTTCTTTCTTTTCTTTTATTTATTTATTTATTTATTTTTGAGATGAAGTTTCCTTCTTGTTGCCCAAGCTGGAGTGCAATGGTGCAATCTTGGCTCACCGCAGCCTCTGCCTCCTGGGTTCAAGTGATTCTCCTGCCTCAGGCTCCTGAGTAGCTGGGATTACAGGCATGTGCCAGGCCTGGCTAATTTTGTATTTTTAGTAGAGACGGGGTTTCTCTATGTTGGTCAGACTGGTCTCGAACTTCCAACCTCAGGTGATCCACCTGCCTCCCAAAGTGCTGGGATTACAGGCATGAACCACTGCGCCTGGCCTAATATTTTATTTTTTGTAGAGACAAGGTCTCACTGTGTTGCCCAGGCTGGTCTCAAACTTCTGGGCTCAAGCAGTCCTCTCACCTCTGCCTCCCAAACTGCTGGGATCACAGGCGTGAGCCCGAGCGCCTGGCCTGTGCTGGCTCTTAACTGCTGACTCTCTACATTCTGCAGCTGGGATTCCCGCAACTGCCAGTGGTCCACGGTACCCTCATCTGCCCACACCTTCAAGGATCCAGCGTCCCACTTGCGGCAGCCTCAGGTGCCTGCACAGCTGAGGCCTCGAAACCCTCGAAATACCAGACCTACCTTTCTTCTTTCGGTGGCCTGGACTTTCCAGAGAACACAAGCAACCAGAAGATCACCACCCTAAGGAGGTCTGCGGCTGAGAAGGTGGCCCCTTCCTGCAGGTGCCAGGCTGTCATCTGCACAGAGCATTGTAGCGTGAACCACCTCAGAGATGGCAGGGCCAGAGCCTCAAAAATCAGCATTGGCACAGCCACAGGGATGGATTTGAGGAGCCCTGGAATGCTCCCCCAAAAATGCCGCAGTTAGAATACACAGCGTATCCACCACTAACACCATAGTGTGAATGAAGTCATCCACCTGTGCCTGAGCTAGGCGTCTGGGGGCCATGATGCAAGAAGGAACAGGACACAGAGGGGACAGAGCACATGACCACAATCTCCCGAATGCCTGAATGTTGCTGAAGCTTGGGCGGGGGTGTTGGAGTGGGGCTGGGAGAGTGGAGGGGCCGGCTTGGGGACATGAGAGGTGGTCAGCAGTGTGCTCAGTGCTCTACGACAGGAACTCAGGACACTCCTGGGAGGCTGCCCTAATTATGCCCATTTTACAGATAAGGACAGTGAGGCTCAGAGATGCTAAAGAGTCTACCCAAGGTCCAACAGGCCGTGAGGGACCCTCTGGAACTCATGTTCTGAGTCTCTCCTCCTCCCTCACCCTGGCCCCCATCAGCATCACCAGCAAGAGCATCTGGGATCCAGGAGCTGCCAAGCCCCCTCCTCACTTCTTTGCATGCTCATGCTCTTCTTTCCCCTTGAACTCTCTCCTCCACTGCTGAAAATCCCACCTCTTCCTTCAAATGCCCACTTTCCGGATTCACTCACGTCATCCGATATGGTTTTCCCAGGGCCGTCCTAAGTGGGCACCATGAAGAGTCCTCAGTGTATCCCAGGGGGAGCGTGTCCCTGCTGTCCTGCAGCAACCCCAGGACCAGGACCATGCCCCCTTCACCTTTATCGCTGAGCCTCACATACTGTTTGCCCTTGGGAAGGTCTTATTGCATAAAAGAGGGGAAGAAGAAATGACGGAACAAATGGCCGGGTCTGCTGCAGCTCCACAGTCACTGGTGCTCCCTTTGGAGCTGGGACAGCTGCTCAGAACCAAAGGCAAACCCTGCCTTCCACAGAGCTGTGCGTGGCACTTTGCTCTGCCCTGTCCCCTCATCCCCATCGCCTCGGGCAGCGCAAAGCCCAGGTGAGGCCAGGCCAGCCAGACATGTCCTGACTTTGTGTTCTCGCTCGCAGGGAAGAATCTAGAATTTTTGGGGTTCTAAGTGCTGCTGTGTCTTCCTGCCCAGCCTTTCTAAGAGACACTTGGCTAGGGTTCGAGAACAATGCAGCTATAATATAGGATAGCAGCCAGGGCGCCCCTCCCCGTCATTTACTCCCCGTGAGGAAGAAACCGTGTATTGCCTCATTCCCCAGAGAGGTAAATGGAGGCTAGAGAAATTAAGCAGCTGGTGAGTGGGTGAGCCTGGGCTCGTAGGCTCTTTCTGGCCCCCAATAAGCACTTGTTCAGGGCTGCAGGATGATCTCTGAGACAGTGTCATCTCTGGCGCTTGGTGGTTTCCCAACAAGATTCCGGGGAATGGGCAGCGGGCTTGGTGGAGGGCCGTGGCAAGTGAGCTACACACCCCAGGGAAGGCTCCCAGGCTGCCTGTGGGGAGGTTTCCCCACCCGACATGATGCTGCAACCCTGACTCAGATCAGGAGGAAGTTGAGGGTTCGTAGAAAAATGTCACGCGTAATCGGGGACAAACCAGGTCTGCCTGCCGCTGCTACTGTCACGGAGGCTGCCTGGAGGCCACCGCTGCCCTGACACCTGGGACCGCTTGCTGCATCGGGGCAGGTGTGCACAAAGCCCAGGCCCACACGAGCCCCTGATTTTAGGAGAGTTACCTGCAGTCCACAAGAGCAAGGTCAGGTTAGAGGCTGCATGCCTCAGTTTCTCTAAATGGCCCAGAGGCTGTTACCTGTTGGTGGTCCGGTGTGGCGGAGAAGGCTGAGATGTCATTTCTCCTCCAGGCCTGGCTGCCGGCCTGCTCTGGGGAGAGTCACTTCCCCTCTCTGGGTCTCAACTTCCTTGTGAGTGAAATAAAGGGGTGGGACCAGATGCTCTGAGTGGCTCCTGTGACACCCTGTCTGGCCTAGGGGCTCTTGCTCAGGGGTCTACAGAGGGGCTGCATGGAACTAGAGTGTGGACATGGGGAGCAGATTCCAGGAGGCGGGTCTACACTCTCCTGCCCTCTTAGAAGATCTGCACGCCCATCCCGCAGTTGCCAAAAAACAAAACAAAAAACCAAAAAGCCAAAAATCACACTGCGTGTGTCAAGACCTGGGAAGCCTCTGGAAGAGGAAGCCTCTCACACACCGCAGATGCTCTAACAGGGGCACCACACAGGAGCAGCCATTCTCAGCACCTGACAAAGGCCGTCGTGACTTCCAGCACTTCGGGGGTTTAGGATTTGAAACTGCTGCCCACAGAAAGGAAAGGAAGGTGGTGCTGTTTAGGACTTCCAGTTTAGGACTTGCGTGCCCAGCCTCGGAGGAGACCTCAGCTTCCACGTGTGTCTGCAAGAATGGTCAGTGGGGTCCCACATGTTCCCCAGCCTCGGCTTCTCTGTCCCAGGCCTGCACAGAGATTTGGGGCAGCCTTAGGCCTGTGGCCTCCTAGGGCCCTGCAAGCAGAGATTTCCCTGGCATCTCCCACCTTCAGGGCTGGGAGGGCTGAGACTCACCCGTGGGCTTGGGTGGCTATTAGCTGAGAGCCCTCATAGATTCCAGCCTATCAGGAAAGTCTGGGCTGAAGTCTACCCTGGTAGATGCAGCTGCCGTGCCCTGGAGGTGTTGGGAGGCCCTGTCGGATGACCAAAGCACAAACAATTTTTAAAAGCCATGCATGCTGGGACTTTCAGGTGTCTACAGGAATAGAAACTACTCCTGGGTTTTTTGGGTGATTCATCCAACGCATGGGTCCCCTCTGTAAATACGAGCTTGCAAGTCACTGCAGGGGAACCACCTGGCCCTCTGGAGCCGGGTCTTCCCACTGTCTGGTAAAGAGGTTGACGGAACCATGACAGCTTTTAAGCTCTCACCTGGGCTTGTGCGATGGGTTGTGCCAAGTCCACTCCCTGCTCCAGGCCATGGAGCCCCAAGCTGGCCTGCGTGCCAAGACAGGGCACTGGGCAGTCCTGCCCCAAGCGAGGCCCCCCTATAGGGCCCCCAGCCCAATCTAAGCCAAAGGCTGGCTACTGGGCAAGGTGGGGCAGCCAGGCCCGCACCCTGGGTGCAGGAGGGGGCCAGGAGCCTGTCGGGACAGCAGCAGGGAGGAGACACACAGGTGTCTGGCACCCACCTCAATACCCAGAGCCTGCCATGTGAGGCCCCAGGAAGGCGTCCACACTGAGCAGCCTGCAGGGAGCAGTGTCTCTGCTCAGCCCCTCCTCAAAGGGATCCTTGTCTACTTCCCATTCTGGCTACCTTTTGGCTACCTTCTTTTTTTTTTTTTTTTTTTTGTGATGGAGTTTTGCTCTGTTGCCCAGGCTGGAGTGCAGTGGCGCGATCTCAGCTCACTGCAAGCTCTGCCTCCCGGGTTTAAGCAATGTTCCTGCCTCAGCCTCCTGAGTAGCTGTGATTACAGGCTTGCGCCACCATGCCCGACTAATTTTTTTTGTATTTTTAGTAGAGACGGAGTTCCACCATATTGGTCAGGCTGGTCTCAAACTCCTGACCTCATGATCCACCCACCTCGGCCTCCCAAAGTGTTAGGATTACAGGCGTGAGCCACTGCACCCGGCCCTGGCTACCTTCTTTTAATAAATGAGTATTTCTATTTTATTGCTGTTGCTTGTTATTTACATTTTTGAAAACATGCACATGATTCAAATACATATGTAAAAACATATAGGAAAATATCTGTACCACTCCTAAATCCAGCTGTCACCTCTCCCCCCACCAGGGCACCACTGTTAAGTTTCTTCCAGAGTTTCTGTGCCCCATGTACATATGAGTTCTTATTTTCTCCCGCTTTTGGCACAAAAGCTAGAGTACTACATGAGCTGCTCTGCAGTACCTCCCTCTCCTGTGGGTATCCCTTGGATACCTTGGGGGATGTCCAAGGTGTATGGGGGATCCCTTGCCAAGGTACATGTGTCCAGACAGACTCAAAAAGTTTGAGCTCCTAAGAGCCAGGCTAGGCAGGGACTAGCCCAAGGCCCCACCCTACGGCTCAGGTCTGTCCATCTGGATTTTCCCCTCCCCTTGTCACAGCCCTGAGGAGTCATAAATAGGATGAACTTTCTCAGAAAATTTCCCTTAAGCCTCCTGAAACTTCTCACCCTAGTCCTGCCCACCCTCTCACCATCCAGAATGACTTGGAGGTTTTGGGAGCCTGGACGGGTCCCTGCCTGTCTTCCAGACTGGGAACCCCGAGTTGGGGAGTTTGGGGGCACACACCTTCGACTTCACCAGTGGGACAGCTTCGGAGCTTCAGGAACCAGCTTCTTCTAGGGCAAGGAACAAGTGAATCTGACTGTGTTTACCAAAGAGCGGGTCCAGGATAGCCGGGCGCTCACCACATCCTCCCCTGACGCTGGTGAAATTCGCTCCTTCAGCAGCCAGAGGCCCGGCCCTGCCCTTGTGGGACATTCCTTCCCTCCAGGGAGGAAACCTGCCCACCAGGGGCTTTGCAGGGGGACCAGTTGGCCCAGGGCTGTGCAAGAAGTGCCCCTGAGCCTGCCCCAGAGAGCCGGTCAGGGAGCAGGGGCAGGAACAAGAGCTGAACCCTCAGAGACACGGGGAAGGAGGAGGATGCTGGAGGAGGGCAGCTCAGGTGCAGGCACGGGCAGGAGGGACATGGTGTTGGTGAGGGCCCGGGCACCCTCTGCACCCTGGGTAAGAGGGGAATGGCAGGAGCCGAGGCTGGAAGCTGGCCAGGCAGGAACCAGGGGCATGGGCCACCCCAGGTCCCAGGGAACACACGCTTGGCACAGGAGCAGTATGTGACAGACCCACTGGGGCGGCAGGGGTTGGGTTGGGATGAGGGCACCAGCAGCAATAAGAAGGAGTAGGGGCATCAGGTTGTCTGAAAGAAGGGTCCAGGGCATCTGAGGCAGCCAGACTCTGAAGCTAGCCTCCGAAAGTCTCCAGCCATCACTCCCCACAAAGCAACTCTTGTCAACTTGGGCTGGTTGCCTAACCTCTCTGAGCCCATTTCCCCAGCCGCAAATTGGAGTTACACATCCATTCAATCAAAAAATGTTTGTGGATCATCTCCTGGGGACCAGGCAGTGGTGCCGAAGAAGACAACAGTGCCTGTCTCAGAAAATGTTGTTTTAGGAGTCGGCACGGTAACAGGGGTAAGCGCACCCAGGAAGTGCCTGCTATTCAAGCGGTGACTGAGGCCCGCATTCCTCATTGATTTATGCCTGCCTTTGTCTCCCCTGCTGGATCTATTTGAAGGAGGAAAAAAAAAAAAAAAAAAGGAGTAACATTGATAATGGGACCCTCATGACCCAAGGAAAAATCAGAGGAAGCCCCAACAGAGAGAGGAAGGCAGGGGAACTTAGGAAGGAGAGGCCAAGAGAGGAAGATGAGCAGCACCTGTCCCCCGCCTCTGCTCCAATCCTCCAGGTGTGACCTGGAGACAGACACAAAGGGTTGAGCTCCAAGAGCTGGGCTAGGCAGGGACTTGCCCCAGGCCCCACACTATGGCTCCCATCTGCTCTCTCCCCTCCCATTCTGTCGGGAACACTTCTGTTCCCAAGCCCCACTTATTTTATTTTATTTTTTGTGAAAATAGAGATGGGGTTTCGCCATGTTGCCCAGGCTGGTCTCGGACTCCTGGACTCAAGCAACCCCTGACCCCGGCCTCCCAAAGTGCTGGGATTACAGGTGTGAACCACCACATTCGGCCACCAAGCCCCACTTATGCATTGAGCCCGGATGACTCCCCTGCACAGTCAGCTGGGTGCCACACCACACAAAGCCCGTTTCTGGAGCCTTTGCCAAGTCCCTGAGGACTGACACCCTGCCCCCTAGGTGCCCACAAAGACAGGAAGGTGCGTGTTCCCAAACCCCCCAACTCGGGGCCCTGATAATCCCCTTTAGCAATTGAAGATATCTGGCCTCTTTGAAAGTGGTGGCTGAGGTCAATGACTGCCAGGGGAATTCAGGAACCTACTGAACACAGGGGGCAGCCCACGGTGTGCAGCGGCTGGGCAGCCTGGCAGGCCCTCCAGGAAGCCCCCATCTCCAAGGGAGCTCTCAGCCACCTGGGGACTGGCCTGTGGCAGTGGGTAGCTGTCCCTCCTCAGGTTGGTCCAGAGGCCAAAGAAACTAGAACAACCTCCTTTTGTGTCCACCCTTAGTCCCCTCAGGCTTTCAGAATGGCCATAGAGGTGGTGGCTGGACTCAGGGGACTCAGGGCCTCTCTCCTTACAGGGCTTACCCCTTATCCAGGAGCAGCGGTCCCTGCATGGGCAGCATTCCCCACGCCCGGAAGCCAGCATCTCCAGGAGGCAGGACTGGGGCTCCCTTGGCAGGGGGCAGTGGCAGCAGGGTGAGGCTCTGCTGTGGGGATGGAGGATGCAGGATGCAGGGGCCGTGTCCCGTAGGAGAGGTACCAGGTCTTCCCCAAGAGCTCAGCCTCTACAGTTCTTGACTTCAGTTTCTGAGGTCACATCTGCTGTCACCCCAAAGCTTCCAGTGGCCACCCCAGAGGGGCTGGGTCAGGCTATGGTCACTTCCCGCCTCCCTCTCCTTGCCTCTATTGTCACCTGGGGTCAGGGTGCTTTCTTTGTCTACCTCTTCAACCCTCCTTTCCAGTGCTAACAGACTGGACTGCCCCCAGAGGCACAGGCCTCAGCATATGGGCTACCCATTTGGAGAGACCCCTCCCTGCACTGGCTGTTTCTCCACCTGCCCCTACAACACAAAAGGCTGACTGAGTGTGGTGACTTCTAACCCAGCCCTGGCTCAGGAATCACAAAACCTAGGTCTGCATCAGGGCCAGCACCTCGCTGCACCTCTC